TTTTATGAGAGTATAACATTATAACATGATATAAAACTAAAAAAAAAGATTTTACATGAAATTGCCCCTTTAAAACATGCTAGTTAATACAATTCTATTGTTTGTAATAATTATTGAATAGTGAATAGAAAAAACAATCAAAGTTAATGTTGTGAAATATGTTGCCTCATACAAGCATTCACAAACATGAAAGATTAAAAAATATATATGTATTACAATATTAAGTTTAGCATTTGACTAGGATTTGAATGGTGATTTAGAACGTTTTGTTTTCTTCTTGTTTTTCTATGTGGTCATGATTTTTAGTTGTTTCGTATTTTTCTTGCTTGAGTTGCATTTTTGTTGTGTTGTACTTGTTATTTTTGTTTAAAGTGTTTTCATGTTTTATTGGTGTGGACCCCTGGAAGAGTAGTCTCTACTATGATAGAAATGTGGATCCAATTAATCAAATAGATAATAAAATAAATAAATAAATAAAATTAACAATTTCAACAGACTGCACATTATCTTCTGTTTCACTTTTACTGAAAACCTATATCTTTAACACTTCTGTTAACAAGTTCCTATTTAACCGACAACAATACAAACTAACACTTATGTAATTGTTGATAGCCAAGTGATGTAGATAGAAAAGGCTAAACAGGAAATAACATTCTCTTGTTAAATTATATTATCTGTTATAGTTTACAATGATCGTACGGGGGATGAAAAGTAAAAATTACAATTTAAAAGTATATTATGTGCTGCCACACAGTGCTATTTGTTTAATTTAGTTACTGATTATCCTTAAGTGATTGCTCATCCTCTGAGATGGGGTCTATTGAAAAGTTTATGTAAAATATATTATCTGATGTAGTAAAACTTCTTATTATTTCTGCATAGTTCTGAACAGATTCATGAGCTAATGGACAGTCTGAATGGGCCCAAGACCAAAGTGAATTACTCCCATCAATTTCACATCACACAGTTATTTACATAGATTAATATAGGTATGTGCAAACACAAACAGCACCAACAAATGCAAGTTTTGAAATCAAAATGACTAAAAATCTGTCATTTTTCAACACAAGAGTATTAGTCTAAAGCAGGTGTGCCCAAACGTTTTCCCCCTAATGGGGCAAAATGAAAATCTATTTGAGGGCTGTGGGTCAAATGCAATAATGTAATACATGATGAAATGCAAATAATTTAAAGTCCTTTTTATGATTAAGCTAGCCCCCAGTGTGGTTTTATTTATTTATTTATTTATTTATTTATTTATTTTTGCACTTGGACAAAATTTGACATATGCTCGGGTAGCAAAGGCTCATGGGCCATTTCATAAATTGACAAAATTTGAGTATTTGTGGTCTTATAAAGTGTGCCATGAATTAATGAGTCTGGATGTCTTTTGTAGTTACTAAACATTTTTTTTTAACTAACACTCAGTATGGGTTTAGGACAAATAGGTCAACATCAATGGAATTAACAGAGCAAATAACAACTGCTGTTGATCAAAAACAATACTGTGTTWGTGTTTACGTTGATTTGAAGAAAGCATTTGACACGATTGACCACAGCATTCTTCTTGAAAGCTGAATCAATATGGTATCAGAGGACCAGCACTACAATGGGTATCAAGTTATTTAAAAGATAGGAAACAGTTTGTACAARTAAATGATGTAAGATGACCTCTGTAACATCACATGTGGAGCTCCACAAGGTTCTGTACTTGGACTAAAATTGTTTATTTTGTATGTAAATGACTTGGTAAATGTAAATGTATCAGGACTTTTAAAATGGATTCTGTTTGCAGATGAAACAACATTTTTTCATTTGGGTAAAGACATAGAACGAATGATGGGGATGATGCAGATAGAATTTGTTAATACAAACTTGGTTTCACCTCAATAA